TTTTTGAAAATTTAAATAATATTTTTTATAATAAAACAAATAAATAAAAATTTATTGATATTTAAAATTCTTATTTTTTGACTGTATTATATATATATTGTATATTTTATATTTATAAATTTTAAAATTTTTTTAAAAAATTTTTTTTTACTTTAAATATTTATTTGAACAAATAATAATAATAATAAACCAATAAAAATAATTATAAGTAAACTTGTTTTTTATATTTGAAAAAATTATTTTTAAAAATTTATATAATTTAAATTATTATTTATAAAATTATAAATATAAATATAATTCCAATTTTTTTCTTAATGCACTGTAATTATTATATAAAAATATTAATTAGAATTAATTAAAATAAATATAGTTTAAAAAAACTTATTTCTACTTATTTTTATTTCATCAGAAAAATTTTTTTTTAGAAAATTTTATCTTTTTTTTTCTTTGCTTTTCTTTTTTTGCTAAAGATAAAATCTTGTAGCAGGTTGAGTCTGAAATATGCCAATACTATATAATATTTTTTCAATTATTAAATATTATATATTTAAAAAAAATACTTATATTTAGGAAAGTATAAATAGATTAACTTTTATATATAACAGCAGTCTGAAACAAGAATTAGAAAAGTTTTGAAACTAACCAATCTTTTTTTTATGAGGTTTTATATATATCTGATAATTATAAATATAAGAGTAATTTATATTTTTCTCTTATTTTTTTTACTTTTTTAAAATTTTTTTCTTATTAATAAATGTTTTTTTTTTTTTTGAAAGTTTTCTTTTTAAGTCTCTTTTTTTCTTACTTATTCTATTTTATCAATTCTCTATTTTATCATTTCTTTATCTCAATCAAGCTATCAACTTTATTTAAATAATATTTTACTTGTTTTAGAAGTATAAATTTCTTTTTAAGATTTTTTCATTTGTTCTAAAAAACTTAATATAGAAAAGGTTAATTTAGTTTTATTTTGATTAAAAGATTTGAATTATAAAAGACAGTTAGTTTTATTATCCTAAAAGTATTAGGCATATCTTTCTATAATTAATAACTATATGTTAAGTTAATCAAATGTAAAAAGTAATTATAGAAGAAAAAATTTAATTGGCAATATCAAGTTTTGCTTTGTTAAAGATTTAAATTGTTAATTAATATATTATAAGCATATAGTTATAAGCAATTTTATTTTAAATATCTAACAATATTATTATTTTATATATTATTTAAGAAAAATAATTATAGAACTGTTTTTTTGTTTCATTTAATTCTTAAATTTTATAAAATAAAAAATCATAAGCAGCTTACTTCTGTCAAAAGATTGATATAATATAATATTAGTTAGTTAATTGTTATATTATTATATCTTATTAAAGAAGTTACAATTTCAATACCTACTAAATTAGTATATAAAATAGCTTTTTATAAAAAATAATATTTAGCAAATTATATAAATTTTAAAAAACTTTTTTATAATTACAATTGTTTTTTTAAAAAAAATTTTTTTATGATAATTTTGATTAAAAAAAAAAATAATTTATAAAGTTTGTAAAAAAATAATAAAGAATTATAAAAAAAATATTTAAATAAAAATAAAAAATATATAATAAAAAAATATATACATAATTACAAATTATAAGAAAGAGATAAAAAAAATTTTTTTTAATAAAGATATTTTAAAAAATTTTTTAAAAAACAAAACTATATTATATTTATAAACATTAAAATCTATTTTTTTTCAAAAAAAATTATAAAAAAATAAACTTTTTTATTAAGATTTATTAAATTTTAATTATAATAATAGTTTTAACAAAAAATAAGATATATTATATTTAAGATATTTTGAAATTTATTTAAAGTTTTTTAATAATAAATTTAAATTATTTCATATTTAATATTTTTTTATAATTTAAAAACAACAGATATAATTGTTATTTATATATTAAAAAATAAGATCAATTGTCAGTTAATATTATAATAAAAAAAGATGAATAACAAAAGTTAGTTTAAATAGATTATCTATATAATAACAGTAATTCTAAGAATTAAATAAAATCATATGTGTATTGTATTTTATTTAAAAAATAAAAATAAAAATAAATACAATAATATTCGGTTTTAATTTTTTAATATTATTTTATAATATCAATTTTATTTAATTAAACATTTAAAAGCAAATAAATAAAAAGTATTTTAAAAAAATTATACAATATTGAGATAATTGTATAATACTGTATATATACTTATTTTGAAGATAATATTAGAAAATTATAATTAATAATATAAAGGATTAAAACAATGGGTCTGCCACTTATTAGCAAAATGAGTCATGTAACGATCGAGAAAGAGGTTTTACACTTTTTAGTATAACTCGGATGGCACGATGCAATACCTCATATTACTTACCCCTTACATATATATTAAATTCAATCAAGTAATTTCATATAGATAATTCAAAAGAATATTGTCATTCGTGACGAGCTTTATTTAATATATGAGAAATAAACATGTAGTTCAATCTGCAAAGTGGACATACAATATTGCAAATTTTTATGTATAATATAACACTTGAAAAATACCCTGTTAAATATGATAATATAAAAAATTTCCTAATTTATGATTCCTAGAACGTTAAATATAATATAATATGAAATAAATATAAAAAAATAATTCTATGTTGATTTTCGAAATGAAAATATTGATCAGTAGTCCTTGCCGCAACAAGAGCAACAGAGTTCATCAGTCTTATAGTGTTCATCGACCAAGAAACGTGCGGCACGTTTTGCACGACGCAGAATATCCTCTTTGTCACAGTAAGTGACTCTAGTGGCAAATATGTTTTCAACTTCTTCTTCTACAAATAAGTCAATCTTTTTGCGGGCTTGATTTAAATCAAATTTGGTCTTTGATTCAACACAACTTTTCTCGAATTTACGATTAGCCTCATATACAGCTCCGATGACAATGATCTCCGGATTGAGATAAGCATTTTTAGACAGTGACACTTCGCTTTCTTCTGCTTGAATAATACTACAACCCCTGTCAATCAAGTACTGTTCACATGCTGAATATAATTCTTTTTCAAGTTTGGCGTTCTTTATTCGCTCGGTAACCCAGAAAGATGCTCGTTCAACAACTTTGCGCCATTCGGGTTCATGTTCGACAAGGACGATTTTGATGTAAGTTATTGTAAATGCCGTAATCCATATAGAATCATCTGATCTTCTTAGTGCTTGACTTTCAGAAAAACGTTTCAAAGATTTAGTTAAGGTGTCGATTGACCGGATTTGAAGGTGCTCTTTTATTAAGGAGTGAAGAGAGAATGAACCATCATTATTCTGGGACTTGCAAATTATTAGAGTATTGTCTTTGTTAGCGCCGCTACGAAGATGGGAGTATACAGCTTGTCGTGTATTATCGGTAATTACAATTTTGTCTAATTCAGTAATAGCTTCTTTATTAAAGATTTCAATCCCTTGTTCGATAAAGTATTGTTCACAGGCTTGGTACAATTCTTCTTCTGCTTCGACATATTTTTCTGCTTTGACTTTGATCTTTTCAGTTATCCAGACTGTAGCACGTTTAATAGCGTCCTTCCATTCATCCTCATATTTTTCAAATACGATTCTAAAGTAAGT